GCCGGCCCGGGCCCGCGCCCGGCGGGGGCGGCGCGGGGAGCCGGCCCGCACAAAAGTAAGCCCAGTCAAGGGCTGGCCAGGAGCAGGAGACAAATGCAGGGGCCAGGGGCTCAGAGTAGGAAACAGACACAGGGGCCCAGAGACTTAGAGAACTGACAGGGTTGAGACAGAGAGCTGGGCTCGAATCAGCGGGGAAGTCTGCAGCCAGAGGAAAGAGAGACTAAAGCCAAGAGGTCTGAGGCCTCTACAAGGGACAGAACAGGTTACAGAATAATTTTGGCAAGGCATGGGCATGGCTGTAGGGGCAGGAGGAGGCCCTTTTAGGCATGTAGGGCTAGAGCAGGGGTAGGCAACTTTTGTTGGCCGGAGTGCTGAAAAAAACCACAGTGCCTACCTTGGAAGGTGCTGGAGTGCCAGCATGCCAGAAAAACTAAATTGGGGGAAGGGGAGGGGCGGTACATGGCAGGACACACTGCACATTAGTCTATTTAATAATCATAAATGTTGCCTTTGTTGTTGTGTACTTTTGTTTTGTTAAGCATGTTGCAGAGAGACAGAAAGAGAGAAAAAAAAAGAGAAATACGAGTAAGAGGAGAGAGAAAGAGAAAGAGGGAAACAGAAAGAAAAAAGGGGAGAGAGAGAGAAAGAAAGGAGACCAGAGAGAGAACCAGGCCCATATACACACACACGGAGAACCACACATGCACAGAAACCACATGTGCACAAACACAGAGAACCAGAACAGACACATGCACACACACATCCAGAACCAGACACATGTGTGCACACACAGACACACAGAACCAGAGGCATGGGTGCACAGAGCCAGGCTGCTAGGCCACCCGACAAAGTCAGACCCAACAATGCCTTGGGCCTGCCGGAGCCCTTGTGCTTCCCTGGGGAGCCAGCCCCCAGGCTGCAGTGTGGCCTATCAAGTCCCTAGCCCAGAGCCTGCCAACCAGCCCAACCACCCACCCATTCCACACAGCTAAGCCCAAAAAGGTGCGGTGCTCCTGGCAAGGGGCAGCACCAGCCTCATCCCAGTAGGGAGGCTGGGCCAGTGCTGGGCTTGAAGTAGGTGAGAATCAGGCAGGCTCAGCTGCAAGCCCTGCTGCAAGCAGCCCAGGCTCCGTAGTTGACAGCAGCTACTCAGAGCTGGGGATGGCTGCAGCCTGGAGTCTGCAAACAGCTGCACTCGTGTCTCAGAGCAGACGGGGGGGAGTAAAAAACAGTAAAAAAAAGTTTGTAAATTATCAGTAAAAAAAATTGGGGGGGTTGGGAACTCTGGGGTCTAAATATGCTCTCCACCTTTCCCACCCCCCATCTAAAGGAAAAGTTTAGCTTATTCACTTGGCCTGAATAGATTTTGTGTGTGTGTGTGTGTCTGCGTACTCAGGGGAACTGGGAATGTATGAGCAGAAATTTAAAAAATGAAGATAATTGTTTGTAGGACCTTGAGGAAAAGGTCATATAAAAGTGAGAATGATAAGATAGAAAGTTAATTGATGTGAATATTGGCTCCTTAACTAAATGTGGAAAACGTACATATGGACACTGCTAAAAC